ATTCCCGCAGGAATGCGGATCGTCGTTAACGAAGACACGCTCCTTTTCTCGCCTTATGAGCCACCTTCTCTTTACGTTGCCTTTATGGGGCTTTGCATACCGGGAGAAATCTCACCAATGATCTAGTAACGACGGCGGCGCCGCAATTACATACGCTTGATGCTACTATACAGGATATTTTGAAAAAATATATCCGTACCGGGATTTCATTCACGAAAGAATTTACGAAGCCGCTCATGCTTTATCTTCTTTAAAATAAGAGTTGATCCAAGACTGGATACATAATTATACCAATTAAATATATGTATATAGATACATTTAAAGTTTGACTATAGAAAATATTTTACTCAACACGGTAAGAACAATTTTGTTGAAATACCTAAAAATTTAACTAGATACTGAAAATAATTTTGTTTGGACCATCAAATTATGTAGGATATTCAAAGTAATTGTTAAAATATTAAAATTTTTTACAGCATTGTTATGAACGCTTAAACGGTTTACATAATTGTTTTTGATACATAATTCAATAAAATTATTTTCAAGTCTGTATATAGATAAAGTTTTAGACGTTTCAGCAAAATCGTTCTTTTCGTGAACAATTTATCGATTTATGATCTCCAAAGATTCAAAGCTCGAAAAATGTATTATTACAAAGATCCAAGTATTTTAAATTAAAACAATTTTATGAATCTAATGATATTAGAAGTGACATCTCCGATATTCTAAAATACTAAATATTATGTAGATGAAGAAAAGGGATGAAAAAAATAGATTAAAATATTAATTACAATATACAATAGGATTCGAGGCACTTTCAACATTTCAACCTTTTAACCTCGGAATCATCTTTAACAACGAAGATGACGAAGCAGAGATCGAGCGAGTTTTACTACAAGACTTACACGAGTATAATCGAGGTAAATAAAGTGTCGTGCATTCGCTGGGAATTTCACGGAGAGTTAACAAAGGGAAAGACGATGGAGTGTCTCGATAGCCACGGGCAAATACCAAAAATGTCACACAAATAAAATGTCACAGACGATGTTGCAAGCGAGCGATTGGCCGTCGATTTGCGACGCGATTGCGGCACTAGCGGGAAAAGAGCAATAAGATTTACGTAACTGGCATTTTGATGGCATGTAAGAGATACACGCTCTTCGTAACTGTCACGATTATCGTCGAGAAATTTAATTAAACCGGAATTATTCGAAAGATCCATCGATCCCCGGGTCATAAATTACAGCGTGCTTCTCCTTGCGTGTCGCATGCAGGGAAACTGATCAAGTTTAAATTAATCTTATCGGGTGTGACGTTACTTTACATGTGAGACCACGAAATAAAATAAAGTGCCTTAAGAGACGTATATGTTATTTATTATAAAATCTTGAGTTTTTCGAAGTATCGACTTTATGAGAGTTCAAAATAATAATGATTTCACTTTATGAAGAACAAATAATCTGTTATAAGATTGTAAAACTTCATCGTAAGAGTTTCAAGAATCTTGAAAAGCTTAAAATTTTAATGCTTAAATAATTCAATGTGAATTACATATGTACTATATATGTACATGCATATATTTGTAGTCATTCGAACTGCGTGCCGAATTGGTGTTCCGAACTTATAAACGCAGTTAAACTACTGTAATAATATTACAAATTATATAAATTAAATTGACAAGCAAATTTTAATAATTTTGATGCTCAATCCGGTATTTTACTAGAAAGGTGTTAATGTGTTGAAAAACTGTAAATAAATTTTATATGTATGTATATATATAATTATAATATAGTATATATATATAAAATTTACATTGAATTGTTTAAGCATAAAGAGCTTCGACCATTATAGGCTTTAATATTCTTACTCTTGTTGTGTATTCACATATACGATCTTAATAAATCATTTATTAAAGTTTTAAGTTATCGAAATTTTAGTTTTGAAATTAATTTATGAAGTATAAAATGTTTAATTTTTTTAATGAAAACTTTTTGAAGAAGAATAAGCAATTTTAAGAACTCATGTTATTTTAGATAATTGTAAAGTTAAATTTCCAAACTTTTGAACGGAGAAGACGCGCGAAAATCGAACTCGGGGAAGATCTGATACATGAGGCGAGGGAACCACGGCGTCGTAGCTTCTAACCGGTAGCTACGTTCGTCGTCTTAATGGAGTTCATAAAGATTAGAGTAAAGTTTGCTGCAGGGCTGGTGAGTCCACTCTCCACTCTGAGAACGAGTTTTCGCCGCTTTAAACGCATCCGGAGAGTCTGTCGCGTCGTTCAGTCGCGAATATTACGCATCGATAACGCTTATCTCGAAATATCGCGACCGACAATCCCTCGCAGCGAGGTGCGACAGACTGGTTCAGGAAGTGCCACTTCCGGTTTGATTAAACCTCAGTTTCTCGAACTCTGATTTTCTATCTTTCTAATATTTTGATTTTTTAATACTTCGAAAAATACTTTCAAGTATTTTTACTTCTTTAGATCTCAACTTTCTTTTTCTTGAGCTTGTTGTTAGAAATCTCAAATTTAATTTGAAGAATTTCTGTTACTAAAATCTCTCTCGAAACTTTTTGATTTGTAATTGTACTTGAAATACAGCTTCTTTTCTTCTCTGCAAATCTTCACCGTTCTTTCACATATCTGTACCATTTTTATGGTATATTATCCGATTAAGTGTATTGACGTGTTTCTTGTCTCAAAATACTCATCGTAAATATTTCGTCCGTCTACTGCGAATTGAGAAAGAGCGCGGGAACGACAGAAACCAACACCCGTTGCTCGTAAACAATGTGGGGGGATCGCCTCGCGTACTTATATAAAATATAAAAGGGAACAGGGAGATATTAACGGCCGCGAGCGTGGCACGTCGGCTTGTGCACGATCGCGTCTAATCGCTCGGCCTCCCACGTGTCCTTTCCTCGACGCGCGCCCTGTGAGGATCATATGTTCTTACGAATTTAATTGTCTTAATAAATATCGAAGTTCCTCTGCCCCACATGCAGAGCTGCGCTCTCTGTGCTGAAAATATAGGGATATATACCTCCCTTCTTCCGCTCTCCTGCCTTCCAAGCATCCTAAGATCTTTTGGCTGCGTTTTTTGTGTTAATTAAAATCCATAAAACATTCTGTGGCAGTTGATCGTCGAATTATTTAAAAGTCAATTTAAAAGGCCATTAATGTAATATTTGAAACTTAGATTAATCTAATGTTTTAAAACTTTTTAAGTAGTAATAAAATGTTAAATTTATCAAGTTCTTGTATGTATTTTAAACATATAAAATTATTTAAAAATTTTTTAGCTTCAAGAATTTTGAAAAGTTTAAAGTTATAAGTTATTAAAATTCTCGTTTATTTTAAATGAATTTATGAGAGTGTGAAATGCTTTAACTTTTAAAATGACTTTAAAGAAAAATTAATTTATTTTTAAAATTAAATAATAAATTAAATAATTCTGTGAATATATTCTTAAATTCTGCTTTAAGGCTTTTTTATTCAGTATGGTGTGTACTCTCTACTATATAAATACTGAATAGTTTTTTTTATCACACTGCATATAATCTATAGCTGTACAAAAATATATAAGACAGCTCTGACAAAGCTCTTATTAATCCTAACATCATAAATATCTTGTGGCGCCTGGCGTCTCCGTCTCCTGGTGAAATTCCAGTGACTCCGCTTCCTCTCATAAATGTATGGTCTTTACGGTCGCCGTTCAATCACCTCTCTCCGCGCGTCTGGTGTTTGCCAAACTCATAGCATCTATCGTCGGTCCGGTGTATTCTGCCGTTTTGCAAGGATTTAATTCCAGCCTTGGGCGATTCCATTGACTTGGGCAAGCGCAATGTCCGCCAGCAGTATAAATCTACGAATGCCTGCAGCATCCGGTCCGCGTTTCCGCCGCTCCCGATCGATGTTTCAACACATGATTCGAGTGTTCCGCGACATAAACCATCCCTTGTGAATCATACGAAATGATGATCCTCTCAACCGACACAAGCATATTTCGAGTCTCCAATTATAAAGAGAGTTATAAAGCAGAGAAACCGTAAACCAAAGTTTTACGATTTCGAAGTTATAAAGTCAAAAGAACTTTAAATTTTTTTTATTTTTGAGAATAAAAATCCCAAAGCTATTACGAGATGAAAATTTGCAAATCCTTATGTAGTAAATCTTACGTAATTTCAAGTTTTATAATTTTTTATTTTTAATATAATAATAGTAACAGTTTGAATCCAAATCTATTGTGCTTAAATATATACAATAAGTTTGAAAGAGTTTGGAGAAGTTGAGATTTAATCTTATCAGTATATGCAAGTCCAGTAGACTCGGAAATTTTCTTCAACTATATTGTGCAAAATTATTTATAACAAATATTTTTTACAACCTTACATAATTTTAAGTTATGTAAGCTTAATTCTCGGATTTTAACTTTTAAAATAAAAAAATGTTCAGTTAACTTTAAGTAAAGATATGTATATTGATTTAAAGTCCACTAGACTTGCCAAAATCAATTAAGTAAAGATTTAAAGAAAAGATTTGAAACGCTAAGAACATATTTTGGAATCTTCTGTTAATATTTTAATATAACTCAGAATGTCCGCAAGTATATTCTTGGCGTTTCGAATCTTTTCTTTAAATCTCGGGCATCTTGAAGGTGCGCGTTCATCCAAGAGATCGTTAAAGAGATCGATAAACGTTTTTGTTGCAGAGAAGTATGCGTGGACGAAGGCCAACAACTGTCGCTGGCGCACGGATGTCAGTTTTACGAGGTGAGCGCCGCGGAGAGTCCCGCGGGAGCGGCGTTAGCCTTTCAAGCGCTCCTGCGGGAGGCGAGATCGGTCCAACTTCTGCGAGCGTTGCCGATCCGCAGAAAACTGGGCGTACACTCAGTCTCGAGAGTCCTCGGGACAATCTTCGGCAAGAACACCACCAAGGATCGTAAAAAGAGGCCGTCGTTGAGTATATGACGCCTTCTATGCGCCCTCCTCCTCGGAGGACGAGATGAGCCAGGCAAGAGAACTGACATCGTCGTCCTCAGCAGCAACGTTTACTCCAATCGCTGACGAGGTCCTCAATAAGGACGTAGAATCTCCCTTGTGCCTTCCTGAAGAAAGACGATCATCACTAGGATTCGAAGACTGTTCTTGGTCATAGAAGCGTCTTTTTGACGAGAGAGCGATCCTTTTCTTCAAGCGAAAAAATATGCATTTGCTAATGGCAATCAAACTACCGAAGTTCTGAAGCATATTCGGGGAACTAAAACTCCGAGGACGTAAGACTGATTTTCTGGCTTTGAAGATATGCAGGATTCAAGGTACGGTACATTCTGGAAGTCTGACGTGCAGAGTATCTAAGGCTCTTTTCAACATCAGGTAGCTGAAAGATCCAGACTCCGAGAAGGTTCCAGTTATGGAGGGCGACAACATTCATCTTAAAAAAAAAAAAAAAAAACTGTTTTGTGTCCTGAAGAAGGATGTTTATGTGGTGTTCGCGTGTGATCCTGCTTTCGATAGCGGGAAAAAAGTGAGTAGACTCAGAGATTGTTTGTGATATGCAAAGGTACTTTTTTAAATATTGCAATATTTCACAGTGATTACAAGTGACTGGCAAGTTGTTCCTGAACGATGTAGTTTTTAGAATGATCAAGAATGATCTTATGATTGCGAATCGCCCCGCAATCGGTTTCGCGAGTGCAAATTTTATAATTTAGGATACATAAAATACTTACACATCTCTTGGTGTTTAAGTTAAATTACGTTATTAACCCTAAACAGTACATATGAAACTCAATGAGCTTTCTCATATTATTTTTTTATGATATTTATAAATCTTCTAAACTCTTTTTGAAAGATTTCTACACAATTTTTGAACTCACAGTTTTCACACTTCTATATGTTTTTTATTATTTCCCAGCTATTTTTTTTGTTAATCATGATTTTAAAATTAAATATTGTTTTACGGGAATAAGATACTGTTTAGGGTTTATTTTTTTTTCTTCTAATGCTCCCGAACGAAACCCGTGAGTCTTTCAAATTTCGATATTTCCACCAAGTGGAAGAGATCGCGATTCGATTCGATTTTCTGCCTACCGCCTTATTTCTTGAAAGATGTTTGCAAGCGCTCTCATTGAGAGCGACTTCAACACCTTCACCATCAGGCGTGATTGATTCGATGACTTTAATGTTCCTAAAGAAAGTAGCCTAAGTGTAAATAGCGCACACGTTCACTTATACTCTGCGGAGAGTCTCAGAGACTTAAATAATGATTAAGATTTGCATACGAAAGAGGAAAAATAATGAGTGCGGACGTTAAAATATTTACAATTAAAAATTATTACTTGATTTGTTTATTTCATCTGATAATTAAGAATATTATGATCGTAAAAAAAGAATATGAAACGATATAAATTTGGATCTCAATTAAAGATGAATTTTGTCATTTTATTACAATTTACATTTGGTTTTTCACAGATCAGAATGAACGATAAGGGACGGCTATTAATGGCATAGTAGAAGTAATAAGGTGTGCTCATTTCTCGGATGCATTTTCATCACGTTCTGCGCAGTATCTGAAATTCGTCTTTTACTCACACACATAGCAACGTGACCTGTCAATGTAAACGAAAAGTTTTATTTTAAAAAAAGTGTAGAATTAAGTAAATTAACGATTCATACTACGAACAGATTAAATAAGTTAGGGATAACAAAAGAGGAAGTAATGTGGTTGTTCAGACAGTCGTTGCATGTCGATTAAATCAAATAAGTTTTACTACACTAAATATAAATTCACTAGTCCTAAAATTAGCATTTTAGCATTTTGCGTTTCTTCATTTGAAAATCTCCCCCGTTAGAAATTATTCAAAATGGCGAATTGAGTCACGCTCTGTCATTGGCCAGCAAAAATGCACACGTGCACACCTTATTACTTCCACCGTGATTAATAGGTTAAAAAAATATTAACGATCGTTTGTGAATAACTGCCGTGCTGCATTCGTCAGTAATGATAGATTGATTATCGTCGACTCTATCGTAAAAAATGTTGATTGTTTGCCTTTTTTGCTAAGCTCCTCAATCGCGCGCGATGTTTTGTAAATCATTTTTCTTTTTTTACGACAAGCATAGAGATTATGATCGACTTTTGAGGTTTGTAGTTCATAAACACTTCGAGAGTGCCTTCCGGACGATGTAAAGTCCATTATACTTTTTTGCCAACAGCTGACTTTTTGATGCGAGTGTTAACGAAGAAAAAAAAAGCGATTCTATTTACATTACGTTTAAGAAAATGGAGTTAACGAGCGGTATATTGCATGATCCCTTTTTAGTGCATCAGTTTCTAGCAGAAAAAAGATCGTAAAATACGGACGTTCAAAGCTACGATATGCTTCCTGTTTCTTGCTTTTTATCACCTTTAACTTCGTGCCTTTTTGCCTCTTATTCTGTTTCTTCGTTTTCTGTCGTCTAATATAAAAGTTGACGAACTTCGGAAGAGACGAGAAATACGATTAATAAATTTGCAAAGAGAGAAAAAGGCTATAAAGCAAGAAACAAAAAGCAAAGAGCATATGAGGTGCGTTCGACATTGCAAATCGTTCGGCAATCATCTGCGTTCGGTATTAACATTTCTAGAGCCAATCGAGCTCCTCGATCCACTCTGGATTCAAAGATCGAGCTCGTAGAGCTAATGCAAGTTTTCGCGCCTAAATTGAATTCATAACCTTTTCAGAGGTCCCGGTCGGCGCGCGCGTTCGCCAAGTTTCGCTCGAATCTCTTCCACGCAGTTGAAATAGGTTACTCGTAAGTAACGTTACAAATTCTCTGCATTAAAAATAAATACTTTGCTAAAACAGTGAATTTGTGTTTTTAAAACAGTGAACCACTGCTGTGACAGATTTCCTAACTTGAATAGTTGTGGAATTTAATGATTAATATCTCAATTCCCAGGGCACAGCGACTCTTTTTCTTGTCAAATCTTTATTTTTACGCGAAAACGCACCGATCGAGTGCATTTTTATCAAAATTTGAGGCGGCCGGGATCTTCTAAACATTTGCTATAACTTTAAATGACGTTAAATGACAGCTCTGTATCGTTTTCTTTCTTCTGGTTTCCCCTTGATTGGTTTTCCGACTCAAATTGAGTCACAGTACCATGTAGAAAGTAATGAATAACCTCCTCGGGGAGCAGAGGTCTCAAATCGAATGTAAATGGAAAATTAAGATTTTTTAGTTGGGGGGAGATCTTGTAGACCTCCTCGTACAATTCGCAACAGCTTTAAACCTTTTTCAAAACTCTTTCACAACGGCCTTAAGCCTTTTTAACTTCTCTTAATCAATAGATGGAGCCATTTTCGGCTTCCTCAACCCGAAAAATCGCGTATATGGGCGCAAGTGGGATCGAACACGGATCTACAGATCACGAATCCATCGCACCGAGCAGCAAGCCACTCGACGAACCCCCTCTGTATCGTTCGAACGCGTCCGGAATTAATTTTTGGCACTCGGTTTGCTCGAAGATCACGTGATCAAGCTCACCATCTGCTAGCTCGCATCTCAGATTTGCATTGCCGAACGCACCTATTATTCACCGTTCGGTGAAGCTAGGTCTCTCTTTTTCACGATACATTCCATTCTTGAAATTAGCGTCCCTCTGAAATGTGCGTATGTGTATGTATGTGAGTGAAAGAGTGCGTAATTCGATTCCAGGCAGATGTCGATCGCTGTATTCGAAGTGCTAGTCACTTGTTATCGAGAGAGGATAATAATAAAGAAGCGTCTTTTGTTAAATCCCGTCAAATTAAACTTCACCGCCCTATCGCCTCCTTCCCATCCACGCCGTGACGGTCATTCTGGGTAAGTCATTTTCGAGGTTATTGTATGTTTACAAATTTTTATACTTTTACAAATGCAATTATATGAGAGATATTTCTTTTTATGTAAATAATATGCCAAAATAGCTCTAATTTTTTTTTCAAATCTCGAGTAGTCCCATGTATTTGAAAATTATGAATGCTAGCTAGAATTGAAATTAACTTGTTACCATATTATTTTCTGTAAATCAATTACGAGGCCCAAGAGGCGTCACGAGCATAGATTTTACGAAAAGTCGGTCAGGCAATCTCACAAGTGAATTTAGCGAATTTCGTTAAGCGAATCCGCTGTCGGCTGAATAACTAGCGATTCGGGCCAAGGTTTTGGGTGCAGCACGTGTTTGCTCGTCTCTGTCAGGTCGCGATACAGAAATAAAATACGGCTCCCCCCGGGGCCCCCGATGCATGCATTCTCTCGCAATGACGGCATGATCGCGCGTCGACAGAAAAATGCAAAAAGAAAGGGTAGTGATGCAGGAGCGATGGCTCAACGGAAATAAGGGATCGAATATCTTGTGAGAAATGAGAGTTTTAAATTTTCGTTGATGAGAATAATTCCTAGAGAGAGAGATTTTAATGATGGCAGTATTACAAGCTAAATCATTAAAGAATTGTAATACATAATTTTAATGGTAAAATATGTATTAATTTACTCGAAAATTTAATTTTCTAGGAATATTAAAAAAAATTTCATAAAAGAGTATTTTTATTGTTATGACATTTTATGAATGTGTTATGAAAGATATAAAAAAAGAGTAAAAGTAAATTTTAATAGCTTATATAAATATTTTTGAAAATATAAAAACAGAAAAAATATAAAGACACAGATTTGACATCAAGTAACTTCAAAATGACGTCTGACGTAACGTTAAAACTGACAAGTAGTCAGTTTGTTTGTTGGGGTTTGTTCAATTTTGCTTATTGTATCTATCCAATATCCGAATTAGAAATATACATCGTGCATGCATCATAGATGAAAGGACCACGCGGAATCTTTTCGCATACGTCGGTGAAGCGACATTACGAGGTGATAAGCGGGTACAAGGGTTCAAAACCTGGTTGGGTTTAAGATTTCCGAGTCGAGTCATCTAAGTCTAAGCGTTAGAGAATTCCC